TGTGCTCATGCTGTTTAGCTTTTGCTAAACACGAGGAAAGCAGATTATGGCTTTTAAGAGCTACACTTTGGCTTTTCTGCAGGTATGTGTGAGGGATGGCATGTTGCGTTCATGCGTTGAGTACAAAAATGTTTAGCTTAGAAGCGTGCCTAAATATGTTTAATACACAAGTTTCAACAGTCATAGACATAGCTACTCCAGTTTAAGCCTAGCAAAAATGACACATACAAACCAGAAGCAAAAAACAAAAAAAAGCGCCATGCAGCCTTTAGTACTTATTTAAATGCATTGGTTTAAATTAAATTAGTGCAACCTTTTTTTAATGCAAGTGACAGCTGAGTAAAATGCAGCTATCAGCTGGATAAGGAAAATTGTCAATGTCAGTACTTTACAAGTGGCATGGCTTAAGTTATCAGTGATGCAAGGACTGGGATTAGAAGTTCCAGAGAGGCTGCACTTCCTCCCGCAAGTATTCTCTATACTAGAGGATGGGGGTCAACCCAAGCTGATTTTGTCCAGATGGACTCAGAACATTGTATGGTGAGAGGCTACAATAAGCAGTTTAAGACTCCTTAACTGAGAGGTTTTTATAAGAACTCCTTTCAAAAATTTAACTCTGAAGTAACCAGAAGCCTACCAGTTCTCATACATTTAGTTACTACTGGAATTACTATTGCAGATCACTGTCTTGCAAAACCACTTCTCCTGGAAGAAGAGTCAGCAGCCCATTCTCTCGAGAGTTATGGTTATTCACTGTCAGTTTGAAAACAAGTCCATGCCTGGGTGTTCTGTTTGTTTTCTGGCAGCCAAACTTTCTTCTTTCATGTGTATGAGCTATTGCACATGGTAATATTAGGATAAAATAGCATAACAGAAACCACAGGGCTCTGCACACTAAGGCAGCATGCACACATAACCTCATCAGTTTTTCATATAGTTTCCAAAGGGAATTTAATTTCTAGTGCAATCCTAGGCAGTTCCTTTTTAAGTGGAATGTGTACATGGGAGTCAGCCTGTAATTTCTAGTGCTGATAGTTCCAGCAGGGTTGTTGAACTGCATTTATGTAAACACTGACAGAAAGCAGTGACAGAGAACGTGCACTATTCTCGTAGTCTTCGCTTGTCCTGATGTAGAATTCATGTTTTCAAGGAGGTATTGTGTAGAGTTCCAAAGAGCTCTATCACTGAGCTTTAATTGTCTCCTGTTCTTAAAATAGAAACCATTAGTGTAGTGCTTTTTTCTTTTTTAACTGATCAGTCTAATCTCTAACCTGCAGCCATTGTTAAACTGCTAATAAAAAAGTGCAATAAAAGTTAGCATTTTTTCTTAAATTCAGAGAAAATAGTTCAACAATTCCTTTCTTCAAGGCACTTGATACTCCATTTGGTGGGAAAAACTACCTTCTCAGAAATATTTCCATAGTATTTATTTTTGTATTTCCCTTTGGCTTAGCATAATAAATGCCTTATCAAGGGTGGCTTTTCCATTTTAGAGAGAAAACATAAGTGGTCCGTATACCTGTATTATAAAATAACTAGAAAAGACAGATTAAGTGCATGTAAGGTGTGAATTTGCTTAACCTTATCTAGTGTAAGCAGTTCTCCAATACAAAATTTGGGGGTTTGTAGTTAGTTTACATTCCCATAATGCATATCCCAAGATTTCCTTAGCATGTGCAAAGGATGACAAATATCAGTACTTCATACAACTATATTTAATAAGTTATTACAGAAAAAAATAAAGTCCAAACTACAAAGTTTAAGCAGTTGTAAGCAATAGCAGCATTGAGCTCCATGTTTAGTCACAGTACTGCAGTTCCATACAAGCATTAGTCCAAGCCAAAAAGGAAGAAGCCTTGTTAGAATTACTAGCAAAAACAATCTAAGAGAACATGTAATAAAAGATACAGTACATTTAAAATTAGTTGAAAAACAAGTACAGAGATCTTAGCTGTGAATGCTCTAAAAGTTATGTCCATTATTTTGACAGTAAAATTACAAATATCTAATACTTTATACCCCAACAGAACTACGTCCAGGAAAAAAAAAAGAAAAAAAAAAAAAAAAAAAGAGCCAAAATTATCTCTTATTAGCACCCTGGTTTTCTACTTACTGCTATTTTTCTCATGTAAATTTGAGTGCGCCAGAATTATGTGACCAGTGTGATATCTGACCAGCTACCCATTTGGGGTATAGAGTAGTCACTAACATGAATATAAAATACTCTGTGGTATGATAGAACACTATAGCAGCAGAGGTGAAGAAGTTTGTCTGGTTTAAAAAAAAAAAGAAAGGAAGGAAGGAGAAGAAAAAGGGCTTAGCTGACATTATACAAACTAGCATAAAAGCAACTACATACAAGCCAGATTAAACAAAAGAGACATTTCTACAAATCTGTGACTAATCTTTCACTCATACCTTGCAAGTAGAGATGTCACAATACTGAAATATTAACATGGGAGCTTTTCCCAGTTAAGCGCCTTTTTTTTTTTTTTTCCTTTTTTTTGTTTGGTTTTTTTTTTTTTTTTTTTTTTTACTACTCTAACAGATAGTGAAATCAGCAAAGTTATTTGCTAACTGCGTATTTGCAATACAATTTGTTTTAGCCCATGCCTTGCTAGCAGGCTATAAAATACAAGCATGTAGGCAGAAATATAAGCATAAACTTTGTACCACTTAGCAGGAATTTTTTTATTCCCTCTTCATTCCTTAATCTCCTTTGTTTGCAATTTGTGTACATTCCAACCAGTAGTACCTAATTTGAGTCTAAATTTTACTTCACTATTTGATCTAGTCTATACATTACTTACAGAACTGAACACACAGAGGATACACAATAGACCAACTCCGGACACGTTTCTTTCCTCAAGTTACAGATGAGCCACTCTAACACTCTAGCATAAATTAGTCTAAAAGATCATCAATAACTTGAAGTAATTGTTTTGTCTAGAGAAAGTCATTGCATGCCCTGTTTACGCAACACCAGTTTTAGTCTGGATTGTTTCAGGTGCCAGAACAGAGTCACTGGCTTCAGGAAGGGGTTTCTTCTGGCTGCATAGGGAAACAAAGGTGATGTAAATGGCAGTGGAGTGAAAGGTGTTTGATACTGGCACTTGGTATTGCCAACACAAAAGAAAAAAAGGACAATGACACAAGAGAGGCAGAGAAGAACGGAGAAAGACAAAGCAGCTGAACAGATGTTCAGACACGGTGGCAATATGGGTTACTGCATTGCTACCAGGAAATGGACATACATTATTTTGCTTTAAAGAGGCAGCCACCAAAATTGTGTGGTAACTTCGATTGAAAATGATGTGGGTACCTACAGTCTGCTCCATGCTGCCACTGATAAATGTATGCAGGAAGGAAGTTGTGCAGGAAAGGGCCAATTTAATTAAACAAATAACACGTGGCAAAATAAAATGAAGAATATATATTTTAGGAGGTTCAATCTAAGACTACTGAAAAGAGAGTTTGTTGAGTTCATGATGAGAAAAGTAATGGAGCATTATGCTGAACGGGCCGGGTCAAGAACCCATTGTTTCAATAGATTTAGTTCCTTATAACGGCAATAGTATTTCATCAACACTGGTGGTGTATAAATCTAGACAGCGAACTGGTACTGTGACATCCCTATTATCTCCCTAAATCATTTTGATAAAGGAAAAGGCTTTTCAAAATATCACATTTTTTCTGCTTCATTCTGTCATTTTATTGCCCAATTCTTTGTTACAATTTTCCAATCACTTTACATAACCAACCATTTTCATCATTGCCACACTATTGTAAACCACATCAGCAAGTTAATACATAAAGCTTTGCATTTCAAAAAACTAGACACTTTAGTAACAATATTACAAAGATTTTAGCTTCAAAAATAACTGAAAATGAAAAAAATAAACTTTTAAAGAATTAGCATCATAAAATTAATTTATTCCAAGTAAAAATACAAAATAATATTAATGACATTGACCAGATATGAAAGTCTCTCCCAGAAACAACTATATTAATGGTTGAGAAAGCACTCCTTAAAGAAAATACGAAATAAAAATGAAAAATATGTAAATATGTTTAATTTTTTTCTTAGCAAAAAATCTTTCTAAAAATAACAATGAAAATTTGTCTCAGTACAAAGGCTACATTACTATTGAAAAAATACCAGCATGAAGAAAAGGTACATATTTGACAGTAGAAAAATGATTTTAGTGAATCACAATGTCTAAAGTCTGCAATGAAAATAAATCTGCAATAAAGATTTATGCCTTTTTTCTTTTCATTTTTCTTTTTTTTTATACAAACAGTACAAACAGTATTGCACATAACAACAAATAGTCGAGGTTAGGTTAGCCTTCAAAAAAATCGACTAGTTCAAGTCTCACATCAGAAAAGGCCACAATAGGACCTGTTGTACCCAGGGGCTTCTTAGTCAAGTTGCAGTTCAGAACTCCATATTTTAAAAAATAACTTTTTTTGAAGGACCCTCTTTTAATATAACATATTAACAACTCAGGGGCACATTCATTTACAAAACAAAAGGGAGCATGTCATAATTTAATAAACTAAAAAAAGTTCTCTTTAAAAAAATACAAACAGAAGAACTCTCACAATTCTGGTCAGTCGTGCATAATCACACTTGATTATAAATATACAAATTAAGGGAAAACATTTTTTCACCTTCTATTCACAACTTTCAGCACCAAATGGAGTTTGTGTTTACACCTGTTCTTTATGATGATTTTGTTTTAGATTTAATCCAACATTATGCTATATTGTACATTTTCCAGCTTTTCTCTTTCTCTCTCTCTCTCTCTTTCTCTCTGGGGGTATTTTTCTACATGAAAGAGGGGTATTTCTTCAAAAAGGTTTACTTCTTTCACATAATTAGGTAGATTTCTGTAGGTTAGCTATGATCTTTAATATTACAGTTATAAAGCTCTAACTTCTTCATTTTCAAAAAAACTCAAATAAGCATGAAAAAAATAAAGTTACCCATCTGTTAAATCATTTTTCTTGCAGAATTAAATTAATATATATTTTTCTGAATAAACTTACTTAGAAAATATCATTTTCTTTCCTATATTTCAAAATTGAGGTATTGCAAAAGATCATGTCAGTCAGAAAGCATGCCTTTTTCTTTAAAAAAAATCATCAGCCGACTGTTGAAAACTGTCTAGATACAAAAAGTAGTGCATAACAAAATGTCTTGTACAGATGAAAAAAAAAAAAAACAAAAAAACAAAAAAACAGAAAAGACATCTGGGCTGGGAAAAGCAATATCACAAAAACACCCAGAAGTAACTTCAAAAGGGATAATCATAATAAGCATTTTAAACCAGTAAAAAACTATTTTTTCTTTTTTTTTTTTTTTTTTTTTCCAAAAACAGAAAAAATCCTTTCAAAGCCAATACTTGCAACTAAACATTGGGAAAAACAACTTACTAAATGAGACACAAACAAGGACATCACTACAAACAAAACCCAGAACACTTAAATCTACTATGCGGTGTCATATCCAGTCAGATTGTCCCCAGAACTGCAAAAACAAAGGAGGAAAAAGAAAAAAATAGTGTACACATTCTCACAATCATTAGTATATCAAGTGTGTTTATATTTATATGCTATCTGCAGCCCCATAGTTCATGCTAAAAAAATGTCCACTGTTAGCAGGTCTTAATTGTATTCAAGCTTCACAGGATACATCCAGGGATTAGAGAGATAACGCCACATCCACAGAGCAGACATCTCGTGTTACTTTTTTTACGCAGACATTTCTTTAGCACCACTTTTTTTCCTAACTTTCTTAAATGTGCCTAGTTTATTAGTTTGACAGACTATCTAATTGGTAGTGTATGTATGCTAGCATGAGCTCTTTGGTTTTCTGGACAAGGTCTGCAGCTACATAAATGATGCAAGCGTTAGGAGAGAGATTGTAACTAAGAGCTCATTTCTGTTTATGTACCTGTTACGAACTGTCAAAAATGTGTTAATGTTGGATACAGAGGCTTTAACAGTTAAGTTTGATCACAGTACTAGACATAATCACTTTACTATATAAAATAAATTGCACGATATATAACAGAGCACCGCAAAGTACTTCATCTACCATCCACAAATTTGTTTTAAGAATATCCTACAGCTAGTTTTTATATTTGTTGTAACATAGGTCATTCTGTAATGGGCTGATCCTAATTTCAGAAGCATTACATTTACTGAGGCATGCCTTCCTCCAGTCAGTAACCAATTTTTTTTGTTACTGAGTATTTTGTAGCCTACGGAGATTCATAATTTGTGCATTGTGGGCAGATTTTATATTAGACATATATAAAATTTATTGCATGCAGCAACCTGATTAAGTAAACATGCAGTCAAAAAATATTGACCTTCCTTGGAAGCTTTTCTGTATGCTATACTGATCTCCTTTCAGCAGCCATCACTATTTTAATCACATATTCATTTTTTAATTGATACCCTAGCCTGAATAGAGTATTATGGTATTAGTAATACCATTTTAATAGCAGCAAAAGCTATTGCAGCATACATTTACATAACACTAAAAGACCTAACAAAAACAAAACAAAACAAACAAAAAAAAACCCTCAGCAAAACAAAAGAAAAAAGTCTGATCCAGCTTATGAGGTATCATCCTTACAAGTCAAAATGGAGAGCAACTAAAGGCTTATTTTCTTTAAGGGTTATTACTACTCTAAATGACCCAAACTAATGATTGCTGAATATCTGTTTAAGTTTTTGCTACATCTGCCACCTACTTGTGAATATTACCTTTGGTAAGTCATCTGCTAGGGGCAAGTCTAAATTTCTGAAAATAAGTGCATGCTCCAGTTTAAAAATAAAAATAATTATAATAAAAAATCTTCATCACATACACATCAACCCGGCGAAGGCTGATGAGAATGGCAGTCTACATAATGTCACTAGTGACAAGTCTTGTGTAGGAAATTAAGGTACCAAGCAGATGTTTGTGTGAATCAAAGTGCAAAATCAGTACAGTTACACTCTGCCGGTTTGTATTATACTGGACACTGAGTTCAGTAATGTGACTGTAAATAATAGTAATAGTAATAAAAAGACCCATATCTTCATTAAAGTCGAGGACGAATGCACAGATTTCCAGAACACTAAGCCCTGAGGCAGCGCTCTCTTTTCACTCAATTTTATCTACTCCAGTACTTGTTGCTGGGTGAGGCCTGGGGTTCAGCTCCAGCGGAATGGGACGTGGCGGGGCCGGTCACCTCCCTCCTTTACCAGTGGTTTGTGGAACTCTCGCCCAGCACGAGAGTGTATGCTTGCCCAGCAGTATTCACAGTAATACTGCAAACAGGTAACATTGGCACAAAAGAATGGAGCAAATTTTCCACCACAGCGAGTGCCCTGGCATTCGTCACACATCTGATCATCCAGCACATATGGCTTCACTTCCACCTGCACCAGGAAGAAGAAAAATAACTGTAAGAAGATTACATGGTTTTTGCTAAGTATGAACAGAAGGAACAATATCTTAATTCTTTTGACTCTATTCAAGGTTTTCAACTGATGCTGAATTAACCCAAAGAAGTTGGTAGTTAAATTTTCATACCAACCACTTTACTTGTCAGAAAATCTCAAGAAAGAAGAGTGTGCTTGGTAACTATCCAACATTTCTTGGAAAAGTTAGGTATATGAAAGTAGTAAGATGAAAGTACAATAAAAATAGCATCTCCAAGGATTTTGCTGCTGTCTAAGAAACCTCCAGCAATGTGAGTACAGTTGTTACGGGGGGCAGGGCGTGAGAAAATAGCATTTAGGAAGAAAAATGATCAAGATCAAAATTACATTTCTAAACTTCACAGGTCTGGTGAGTTTCAGAGGGTTTTTTCCAGATTTTTTTTTGTTTCTTTGTTTTCTGTGAACTGCAAAATGCAGGGCCAGACTAATAAATGAAGAGAAGATTCAAATTAAACAAGATTAAATGCAGTTGTATTAAGTACTCTGCCTTATGCTGGTAAAAAAAAAAAAAAAAAATCACTATCCAAAGATTTTTAGCTGTAGAAACACAGTAAGATTTCATAGTTGTTCCAACTGTGGCCTTGCCATCAATTACAAATAGGCTGGAGACCTGCTGTCTTTTGTCCTACACTTAGTTGTAGAAACATATTAGGATTGGAATTCGTGTTTTTAAAGCACCTGTGCCAAACACAGCAGTATTTTGAGGCATGACTAGGCAGTTAGAAGAATACTATTACAGAAGTTGGCGACATGTGAGTTTTCTCCTGTTTGTCTGTTCCTAAGAATCAAGCCTACACATTTAAATTAAGCGCTTATTCATTTTGAGGACATCATTAGTTTATGCATGTGTAATTCTCATGGCTCTATGATGCTTTTTAAAAAGTGGTTTAAGTACAGTCAACTACATTAAAAGACATAGAAAAATTTGAAATATACATGCTTTTATAATTAATTTTGCTCTTACTACACAAGTGCTAGTCTGGCAAAATTTGTATATTGCAAGGAAAACTTGACTCCAGTAACTACTCTTAAATACATACGATATTAAAGAAACACAGCACAAGATACTAAGTTGAGAAGCAATAAACATATACAAAAAGCTTCATGCTGAATTTTACTTCTGCATATCCTGATCACTTGTCAATAAAGGTTACTCATTTGAAGTAAAGCTTATATAGTGAATTATATTTCTTGCCTGTGGAACAGCTAGAACTGCCAATATTTTTTTTTTCTTTTTAAATTACACTGTACTACTAGTAAACTGGACTACAAGTCTGAATAACTGCCGTTTTGCATGTCAGATGCCCTGCCACTAAAATTAGAAGCATCATGTGAAATAAACCAGCACTGTATCAAATTAAATTGGAAGAAAGCAGGTCAAATGTCCAGCACATCTTTAGGTCCCCACCTACTCACATTTCCAAAGCATGAATTACAAAGGTCTGAAATAGATTATCTCTCTCACTGTTTTTATTGTTTCAGTTACCAGTGAAATAATTTAAGGATGTATGTTGCACAGTTCAGGGATTTCAATCTATTATATTTTAAAACTAATACTTGAGGACTGATTAAGAGACTTCATACTTCTTCAAATTCACAGATAAACCTATTTTAAAAACAGATAAAAGATAATTAAGTAACCTTAAATTATCAGTCAACAACTGGGAAAAGTACTGATTGGTGGAACAAACTACCAGCTAGCATATTTGAGACTCTATCCTACAGTTTAGGAAAAAAATCAAAGTTTTTAAGCATGACTGATATATAAATCTCAAAGGGTTCAACACTGTAACTAAGATTCCAAAATTAATCTTCTTAGTCTCTTTGTAAAATTTTTCAGAATTCACTGGACAAGAAATATTTAAAAACAGCCTTATCTTAGTTAAAATCATGAGGTAGAGTAGCACCATAGAAAAATAGTTTGAGGACTTACGACTCCATGTCCTCATCCAATCTGGGAAAAAGTTCAGTTCAGATTTTTAAAGAGAAGGTAAAAATAGCTTGGACTTTGCCACTGCGTATTTTTGTATGTATACTGCACATAATAGACACAACCAATACCTGTCAAGCTGACCTCTTAAGAAACAATTTATATTAGATTAAGTAGAAAACATGCCATCCCTGTTGTAAAAACACATAGCAGCAGTGCATGCTGTATGTTCTTTTCAATAATTCTAAATGCCAAGTCCTCAAAAACATAGGTGTTACTTGAACATGTAATCGAGGTGAAGAAGGTCTAAAGGAAAAAAGATATATTGGAAGTTAAGTAATGTTTTCTTTCAATGTCTTCATCTCAGATTTCAGTAAAGACCTTAACTTCACTGTATACTTGAAAAGTCCTTCAGAAACCAGGATTTCATATGCAATAACAAAACCACCTCATTTCCCGCCCTTCTGCCTAGCAAACATCTATTGGCATTTGGTTTTGGTAAAATAATTCTCAAGACCTTTGAGGTCAGCATTACCTATGATACTTACAGTAAATCTGTGTTTTAGGAACCTCAAATCTAGATGCACATTGCCGAGAGAAAATGTTGCCTAATAATAGCAGAAATGCCAGAAGCTATCTGAGTAGCCATTAACTAAAAGCTGTGGCCACACAATGAGCAAACATCTAGAGGACAAAGAAGCTGGGAAATTCTACAGTGTTTGACCTTCAGAATTCAAAACAAAACCAAGAACAAACAAGCTTACAACCAACTATTTTCTGGTTTTAGTGCTAAACATTTAAGAGGTTTAAGATATTTTTTCACTCAGCTTTAGATGCTTAAATAAGCTTTTAAATATTTAACAAATGTCATCTGAAGGACAGAGGTTACAATGTTCTCTAATACAATATTAATATGACTGGTTTTAATTTTGGTACAGTTTTGTGAGTAACAAGCATTCTGTTCCATGCTCTTTTACTTACCCGTTTATCAATGTCATTGTGTTGGAGCTGGACAAAGCGAGCACTGATAGCAGCAATATAGCTCTGCTGATTGGAGAAAGCCACTCTGCCAGCACCTTTTGGATACTTCAACTCTGGATCTGTATCAATGCCAGCATAGCAGACACCTCCATATAAACGGTCCATAATCATTGCCAATTCAACTGCAAAAGGTCAATTGTTAAATATTACAGATTTAACATACATAATAGTGTTGCATTTGGTTTATAGCATTAAGAACAGCGCTATTGGCCTTAGCATACTGGACTTCCAAACTCTAAAACAGCAAACTGAAGTGTTGGTTTTAACAGACTGAGTCAACCCTACATGAATTATAGTGGAATGTAAAGGCAAAAAATCCAAAATCTGTAAAAAGAAACTTGGTGTGACTGAAGTGTGAAAAAAATTAAGAGTTACATTGTTAAAGTAGGTACCAGGTCAACTGTTTCAGAATTTATCATATTGTAAATTAAAACTGTAGTAATTAGGGATTAGGTATTCAGGATCTCTGCAAGGTCCAGGCAGGCTTGTTAATGCTAGTTTAGAAATAAGACCACTTAAAGATATTCCTGTATTTAGAATCTGATATTTTGCCCTAAGTACTGAGGTTGAAAAGACATTAAGGAACTATTTTACATTTGTGAAAAAATTTTGTGAAACATCAGGAGTTATTACACTTAAAGCAAGCCTACATTTGGATGCAATTTAGCAGTATTTTTGTAGAACATTAACTTGATTGTGGATCTCGAAACCAAGAATAACTCCAAAGAAGTTATAAATATCATTCATTAAATAAGGCTGAGTGCATAGCTGAGGAAACATACAGGAGGAAAGTTAAGGGAAAAAACTGAAGGAAGTGGAAAAGGGGCATGTAAACTGTGCGAAGTCATATGGTCGTCAAGCCAAGGTCTCTGTAATTGACAGGCAGACAAATTTGTCAGATGGATAAGGGACAGACCCTCCCAAAGCAAGATACTGCGACCTGTACTGACCCTGCCAAGTCAGCCATTCTTTTATGCCAATGTGTGAAAACACTTTCAGTAGCAAGTTAAAACTTATCTATCCAAGATAAAATGAAAAAGGTATACTAAATATTGCAATCCTTGTAGTTCTCACAAAATTCTCACTAGTTAATTGTATAGAGAGACAATTTTTAAATTGAGTATGTATGTGTGTTCGTATAAATGTCTGTGTCACATTAAGGGAAGACTATATGCTAATTTGTCCATCAGCAATGAGCAAACAAATGTCTGACTCATTCTACCAAACCAGATAATCCTCTTGTTCCAAGCAGTAAGGGAAAACTATCAGCATGATGTGGTGACCAATAGGTTCTTCTGCTTTCTGATAATTTGGAATCATCATTTGGGTAATGATCTCAGAAAGTGACAGTACGGAATAAACATCAGGAACACTTAAAAACGTTTACAACAGTTCCAGTAAGTTACTCTTGCCAATAGCCAAAGAATATATAGGATTCCAGGGCAAGGAAACCATGCAGTGTTCAGACATCTTACAAAAATCTTCTGTATCAGATCTTTACAGCTGCAAACAATAAAAACTGGAAACTATTTGTCTGCTTTGGAGAACGTAACTATTTAAAGGCATCAGTTTTCAAATGTAATGCATTTGAAATGTAATCTATGACTGGCCAAATGACATACAGTTTTATAAAGGCATACAGTTTTATAATTAGAACTGAGGTAATGTTTAATTGTTACTATTTACATAATTACCATCTTACAATTATGCCTTATTTTAAGAGGGTGAGGAAAGTGAAAGCTGCCAAGAAACCTGGGCTGGGAGAAATTTTACTGTCGGCAATGGCTGGGGGACCTTGTGTACAGCTTCCCAAAAGAATTAGGAGAAAGATAAAATGAGACGGAGAAGTTCTAGTGGGCTTAACAGTGGCTGCCAAAGGAAAGTACCAGGAAACCTGTTCCAGAAGTCTTTCTTCCAGACAATGTCTGAGGGGCCTTGCCTACTACAGCCTGGAAAATTAGGATTAAGGTTGAGAGGATTTAAAAAAAAGAAAGCGTGGAGCTGACGAAGTGAGGATGGACAGGGACTACTAAATGGCAGTGAAGGCTGCCAGAAGACCTAGCTAGGAGTAGTGTTTCCACTTGCTTCATGACCTTATCATTGGCTCACCAAAAATACAAAGGTTAGGAAGAAAGAAAAGAGTCTTGAGCTACAGTTGGGACTGGAGTTGAAAAGGGACCTTCAAAACAGAGTAAGGGCTGAGAGGAGATCTGGGCTGGGATAAATCTTTCCTCTGGTGAAAGGCTAGAGAGTCTTGTCTATGGCTCTGCAAATAAAAGTGAAGAAAAAGAGTTAAGGGTAAAGAAAAAAGTATGGGGAAAAGAGCTACATTAGGAGTGGGTCTGGAAAGTGGTCTTCAGTACAGAGTGGAGCCACCGAGAGACCTGGGCTGGGAGAAATTTTTCTTCTGTGCAAGGGCTGAGAGGTCTTGTCTATAGCTCCATGAGAAAATTAGGGTTAGGCTTGAGGAAAAGGGAAAGAGAATTCTCAGAGTTGCAGTTGGAATTGGTTTGGAAAGGGGCTGGGAGAAGTTTGTCTTCTAGTCAAAGGGAAGGGGAACTTGTCTGCATTTCAGCAAGCACATCAGGGTTAGGATTAAGATGGTATACATTATGAAAAATCAGTCAAGTTCAATGATATTATGCAAACTTGGGGAGAGCTTTCTACTGAAAATCCTAATTAGTAACCTGTTCAAAAGATAAAAAATGTTCATGGTTTGTATTTTGTAGACAGGATGACACAGACTTAGAAAGTGAGCTACAATCTGTGGAAAAGACAGGGTATGTTTTCTGCGCTTTTACATATACTGTATGTCATTCTCATCTTTTCTGCTTAATCTGGAATCCCGCTTCTACATGCCTTACATTCTCCTTCTAACTCACCAGCTCGGAGGGGCCGTGGAACTCCTCCAACAAAGATAGTTTTTCTTGGATCCAAAGGCTGAGACCCATCCATCACAAAGTCACTGTCACTTAGGTTCCAAGGTCTAATTTGCACCTGTATTAAGGACTGTTTTTAGTAGAGGAACTTGACAACTCAAAATTAAGAAACAACTGCCAAATCTTTCTATAATTAAAAATATAATTTTACCTTAGAAAAAGCAGTGTATCAGTGGTATAAGCACCAAAACAGTTGGAGAACATAGCTTATCTGTGTTTGAAAGGTGGACAATTCATTTATCTCCTCTAGAGGCCAGGCTTGAGTTAAATTTCATCATAGCAAACTCCTACCTCATTAACTCTCTGCCCCTAACTGCCATTATAATAAGAAATCTGCAAAAGGTCATTTTACCGTGTATGTGCAGTTACAGTTGTAGTTTGGGCTTCTGGCTTTCCTGAAATCACATACTGTGATTCACAAATTTTAAAGCACCGATAGGAGTGAAGGTAAAATTAATTTCAATGCTTGGATAGAAAAGGAGTTTTTACAATGTGTGAATGCCCACTTCTGTTAAGCAGCAAGCAACACAGTTGATAAAAATTCTTTAGATTACACAGAAAAAAAAAACTGCTCAGAAGTTATTTGGGTAAAGTTGTTCATCCATCCATTTTCTTGATCCTAGAAAATCACGTAAGCATACTCACTGTGCTGTAATATTGAGTTGTTCATTTATCTGTGCAAGCTTTTTAATAGTGTTTTTAAAATGCAGCACATTTTTTATCTAATCATATTTGTCTGTAGTTTTCATCTAATCTGTATGTATCCATAGCCACAAAAAAATAGTAGCATTAAAGAATATCAGAGTTGTGAACAATAGAAGCAGGTTACCCTATGTCTTCTATTTTGCTATAGGTGACTGCATTACTTGTTTTTACTCTGCAGTTTATATAACATAAATGAGACATAAATTATAAATTACCTATTTCATGCAGAAAAAATAATAATCAAGAAACCTAATGAAGTACAGTATATTAAGTTTCTTTATTTCATTGCACAAGGCTTTCTTTTCTTTCAAATTATATAGAGGAAAAAATTATATTCTGATTGTTTTACAGCTAACATTGTAAAAGGATGTATACTCCTATGAGATACCAGAAGTACCCAATATAAAAGTTAACCGAACACGACATTTATCAGAAAGAAGCAAATGTTAAAACCATGTTATGCTGAAAGTCAATGTAACAGCAAGGACAGCAACAGGAAATGGACAGGTCAATTAACTGTAAGTGTTTATTTATTTTTTTAATTGAAAAGAGTAACAGCAAATGGGTTAGCAACCAGCCTAAGTGTCATGGCATAAACTACTTACTGGTTTATCCTTGATTGTGGGACTTGACACACACAGGTAAAGTTTCCCATCTTCTTCCAGACAGGCGTCAATCAGAGCTTGTACAGAGCTTTCTTCCTGGAACAGCAGAAAGGCATAACCTTGGAAAGGATACAGGCACAAGAAAGAAAAAGAACAGATTAATTTATAAAGCATTTTTTAAAATAAAGAAAACAAACCCAAGAAATGAATAAGATAAACAAATTACAAATATCTATTAAGGCTGTTAGTTTTCATACATTAATTTAACTGAATAGCTCACACCCTCATACAGTATTGATTTCAGAATGGAGACAAGACTGTTTGCTGCATATGAGTATGTTTATTTTATTAATTAATGATTTTGAGCAGCGAGGATATAGGCTGGTGAATGAAGGGTTCTTACTGTCCAACAACTGCATCTGAGCTATTTATCAGTGGTATCTGCTGGTATCAGTGATTATCATATTACAAGGGAGGCACCGAGTTTCTGGTAACTATATACAGTGAATAAATATTAGAAGAAAGGGTCAAAAAAGTAGACAGGTAAGCAGACTTCCATGCTCACATACTTAGACATGAAAAAAATGCTCACCTAAAAACAATAAGCATGATCGAAAAAAGAATGGCATGCATTGTGTTTTATTATGAGTCAAAGACCTGCTGCTGTTATTTATATTTAAATAATGTAGTTCAAAAGAAAGAAGAAAATCAAATAAAAATTGCTCCAAGTGATTCAGAATTTTCAGAGTTTAAATTAGCTAGTAAAACTAAGCATGTGTGGCATTCAGTGCTCTTCTCAACGCAGCTGGCAAGAAAGCTTTCTTCAGTTTTACTTAATGTTGTTAAATTTGAATGAAGATTGGACCCAAGCAGTCTATGCTTTTGCTACCTCAGAAGTAAAACTAATACAGCACGCTCTACACTAAGCAAAGTCATCTAAAGACTGGCTGCTAGACTTGAATACAGCTGCCTGGTTAAGAGGATTTTCTGTCGAGCATGCATTGCTCTTTTGCTCCATAATCAGTACAACTCAGTTTTCTCACTGAATGTGAACACGTTGGCTTTGACCTTTATAATTTGGCACTTATGTGTCTTACAGGCTACCTCTTGTCAGAAAATCATCAGCAGCAATTAGAGGCAGCTGGAGTTTAAGCAGGGACTGCTAGACTTTCTCTGCCTAAGACACTTGACACAAACTAAGCGCCTACATGATACACCATATTTAAATTATGACAACCTTTGATATAATTTTACACAGTCTATTTGCTATTAATATAGTAGTGACTTAACCTAATTTTATACTCAGTATTGACTGAATAGTATCTGGCATGTCCCTTTTAGATAAATACCACACGACTCTGATTTATAAAAAAAAAAATAAGATAGACACTGAAAAAGTGTTTTCCTCTGTAGAGTTATCTTCCAAATTAGCTCTTACCCTATTATCTTTAGTCCCGTGTGACTTCTCAAAGAATATTCAATTCTATGCAGCTGTTTGTTTTCAGAGGTGAAAAAAAGTTTACATTAACAACATAGTTATAGCCCAGAACACATCTAGAAAGGTTGACTTGCCCAAGAAAAACAAAATAGTTTGATCATCACTCTTGCTAACAAACAAGGAACTTGCATACCTAGGGTTAGAGTAGATCAAAGATACAAGTTCCAATAAAAAGCGAAATACTTTGTGAGTAAAAACATTGGTGTCCTCTCTAGCAGATGTAATTCTCTTAAAACAGTCCCCTAAAGATATAAACACACTGAACATTTTAACTTTAGACTTTACAAAACTAATTACGTTGAGTACACAAATAATTAGTTTGCAATCACTATCACTTTTAGTTTCATTTTATTTTCCATCCATGCACTTATTATATCTTCCTCAATCCGTACCATCCCTTTTGATTATACTGAATAATCAGAGCAAAAACTTTATACAAATTAAAGTATCTTTAGTTTAGCAGTTCTTTGAGCCTTATAAAATGCCCCAGTCGGGAAATTAGATATGTGGAAAAGACTACCGTGGCAACTACACCTCCAAATGCAACTGATCACACACTGTGGTTCAGCTCAATCCTTGCCTCATATTTTATACAAATACCTTACAAGACAAATTCACAGAAGATGCAGTGCAGATCATTCAATTACTATGAAATCCAAATAAGGATACATGTATATGTATGCATACTTTAAAAGAATGGTTTACAATATCTTTAAATAGATTTAAACATTTAGGATTTACCTTCTGCCCAAACTGTAAGATTTGAACTCTAAAAAAAATGGGATTTTATCTATTTCAGACTTTCATACTCTTAAACCAGCAAAATATTGGAAATTCCTTTAGCATAAAGACAAAAATGAAAATTCAGAAATGTTTATCGTGGCTTAATTATTTAGCAAAAATCTGGCCAACAGCTTGGGATGCTTTGTCTGTGAAGCTTTTTCAGGTTTTTCTGGGTCACAGTGAGAGGTTACATCTGTGGTAGCTGGAGTTGATAGCCATTTTGGGGGTACAGTAAATGGTATGATCATCATTTCCCAAACCAGTTAAACTTAACTAAACAGATACTTGTTAATTTTTTCTGGGTGCTAGATTACAAGAGCAGTCCAAGTTAGTAAGAATTCAGTTTTCTAACCTGGAGCTAGTGCCTGCAATGAAGTTTAGTACATTAACACCTCCTCACTTCTATAAAACTCTGTGACTGTAACATATTCTGCCTGCTGTGGAGACTGTGTGGGCCCTCTGCAGACGGACAGGTAAACAGTTTACAGTAGCAGTCTTGTTAATCTTGAAAAGCAGGCTGGAGTAGCATGACATGATGTCCAGCATTACTTCAAAACCTGGTGATTGCACATCTATTCCAATTATTCAAGGACTTTTAATAATATTAACAAAGATAACACTGAAATGAAAAAATAACTGAATAACAGAAGTTCAGATAATATAAGGATCATGTAGAAGCTGATACGGACAAGAAAGATATCTGCCAAAGTTAAAGGTGTTTTCGCTCATTTTCTAGAAGTGCACAGGATGCAAAAAACTTAAATTCAGAAAGATGCAGCTCCTTCCCATGAGCAGTGGGAAGTGCTAGACATCACTGTTACTGAAGACTTACCCTCTTGCTCACAGTACCACCAAGAACTGCTTTTGCTTGTTCATACAAGCAAATATGTGCTTCCATGGCTGCACTTCATTTGATAGGAACTCTGTAGTGGGAGATGTACTCTGAACTCAGATTCCAGTATAAAAAATTAACTTGGAAAATACACATGCCAAAATTGAAACTGTATAAAGAGTTATCTCACACTAGATGCAATTTAATAATATTTTTTTTTTGCACAGGAACAAACCAACATTTTTAATAAATTCAGCCACAATTTAAAGAAAAAACAGCATGCCAATCTATAAATTAACAGTAATTCATTTTCTTTTTTGGTCAGCTGTGTTTAAACACTAAGTTTGGCTTTAACTTTATAAAACTCTAAGAGTATCCCTTCCTGAAGAGATTCTCAAAAATGTCTGCTATAGGCATTATATGCTGTTCTACTGTGGATTTCTATTCCTATTTCTACTACACACAATGATGAGCCTAATTCCCAAAAAGCTTTACTGCATGGCCAGTTGACTTCTAACATTCAGAATGGTCCATTATAGAGGCATCTAGGCTTAAAAGAAACTTGATTCCTATTTAAAGACAGCAGGTGAGGTAGCAGTAATAAGATGATCAGTTTCAAAAACAAAAATGTATAAAACTTTCAGCAGATGCTGAAAGTTGCTTCAGATTCCTCATCATCATGTCCCTCTCAGCACATTCTCCTCTCTGTGCATCACAGGTATCATACAACTTAAAGCATATGTTTTTTTTTTCCCCAAGTTGTAAGAGATATGATGAATTTCAAAATTTTAATCCTCTACAGCAGAACCTCGGTAGCATGCTGTGCTAGTATGCTGCAGACAAACTTCACCTGTGATCCTTTCTTGCCTGACCAGATGTTCTAAAGGTTTGAGGGCTCAAGCGACTGCTTCTGACTCAGATTCCACGAAGTAAAACAGGTGAGATATTTGAAGCCCCAGAAAATAGCAAGGTACCTGACAACAGCTGCATATTGTATATACATGCCTACATGGCTTCTTGGCAGAGCAGAAACAATCCAGCTGCATCTCAGCTGTTGGTACAACATATCAGTGTAGTGCTGACAATAAACATTGCACTTTGCAATTCTCTGGAAAAAGGCTACAACATATATTGCTGTAAGACAAGTCACTACAACTTTTGAAGTGGTACAGCAGACAGAAAATGACGATAGGATTTATTTCCCTAGATTCTGAAGCACAGCCGAGGAGCTCTTCAACTTTAAGATCGAGGAGTCATTATTTTATGGAAACCAGTACAAGTACTAAGCTCATTTGTATATGTCCCATTCTGACATCTAAACAGTGACACAATTTCCATATGAAAGGGTAATTTAGTCCAGTTGGTCTGATTTCACTTAACCTTGCTGAGAACAAACTGGAAAATCTGGCATATATGCCATGTCCCACAAGCTTGAAACAAGGTTGTCACTTGACATGCAGGGTACACTTGAAACTACCATATAATGTTGCTATAGTCTGGAAAATGCATTTTTGCTAGCCTAGACAGTCTGGAAAAATCTCTATTTCAATTAATATCAACATAGGTATACCTTCTCTAATGATGGGAACACTTCTGTATTACTTAAAGTACATTCTGTCCATCCTTTCTCAATGTAACTAAACTGAAAAGAAATACTCATGAACCTTTATTAGGGCAGAATGTGTATTAAGTCTATCAGGCAAGGGAGAAAAACTTATGGGCCTTGTCAACACCATTCAACTTAGCAAGCCATAGCTGGTAAGAGTTTATCAGAGACTATCTTCTCGTCTAGACCAAAATATTTCTGAAGGGTTAAAGATGATCCAACTTAACACCTTTCATGGCTCAGCAGGAAAAGATTGGTTGCATTTCAGAGCATCCATGAATAAAAGATGTTAAAAAAAAAAAAGCTTTCATTTATTCTTCTAAACCTGGTAACACCTTCCTTGTACAGCTTCATCATTAGGCACAAAGTTTGGTGGAGTGAAATGAAATCATTGTGTTTT